CTTGGAGCAAGATAGAAGTTAGAAGCGTGGGGAATAGCAAGGCAGAATGAAAGATTAGATTAGATAAGCGGGCGAATGGAGAATGAGAGGATTAGAAGCGTGGAGGAGAGTAAGCGGGCGAATAGCAAGGCAGAATGAAGAGCATTAGATTAGATAAGCGGGCGAATAGCAAAGGTGAAATGAAGAACGAGAATAGCGTGGAGGATAAGCGGGCGAATAGCAAGGCAGAATGAAGAGGATTAGATAGCGTGGAGGAGAGTAAGCGGGCGAATAGCAAGGCAGAATAGATAGTGGAGGATAAGCGGGCGAATAGCAAGGCAGAAATGAAGAGGATTAGATGAGTAAGGGCGAATAGCAAGGCAGAATGAAGAGGATTAGATAGCGTGGAGGTAAGCGGGCGAGCAAGGTGAAATGAAGAGAACGAAAGCGTGGAGGAATAGCAAGGCAGAATGAAGAGGATTAGATAGCGTGGAGGAGAGTAAGCGGGCGAATAGCAAGGCAGAATGAAGAGGATTAGATAGCGTGGAGGAGAGTAAGCGGGCGAATAGCAAGGCAGAAATGAAGAGAATGAGATATGGAGGAGAGTAAGGGCGAATAGCAAGGCAGAATGAAAGGGATTAGCGGGCGAATAGCAAGGCAGAATGAAGACATTAGATAGAAGCGGGCGAATAGCAAAACGCAGAATGAAGAGGATTAGATAGCGTGGAGGAGAGTAAGGGCGAATAGCAAGGCAGAATGAAGAGGATTAGATAGCGTGGAGGAGAGTAAGCGGGCGAATAGCAAGGCAGAATGAAGAGGATTAGATAGCGTGGAGGAGAGTAAAGGGCGAATAGCAAGGCAGAATGAAGAGGATTAGATAGCGTGGAGGAGAGTAAGCGGGCGAATAGCAAGCAAGGATTGGGATAGCAGTGCAGAAAGCGGGCGAAAAGCAGGAAGAGTTAGATAGCGGGAGGAGATAAGAATAGCAAGGCAGAATGAAGAGGATTAGATAGCGTGGAGGAGAGTAAGGGCGAATAGCAAGGCAGAATGAAGAGGATTAGAGAATGGCGTGGAGGAGAGTAAGCGGGTGAATAGCAAAGGCAGAATGAAGAGGGGATTAGATGGTGGAGGAGTAAGCGAAGGAATAGCAAGGCAGAATGAAGAGGATTAGATTAGAATATGATTAGATAGGAGGAGAGTAAGCGGGCGAATAGCAAGGCAGAATGAAGAGGATTAGATAGCGTGGAGGAGGTAAGCGGGCGAATAGCAAGGCAGAATGAAGAGGATTAGATAGCGTGGAGGAGAATAGCAAGGCAGAATGGGGAGGATTACCAAGTGTGGAGCAGAATGAAGAATAAAGGATTAGATAGCGTGGAGGAGAGTAAGCAGGGGAATAGCAAGGCAGAATGAAGAGGATTAGATAGCGTGGTGGAGGAGTAAGGGCGAATAGGCAAGGCAGAATGAAGAGGATTAGATAGGTGGAGGAGAGTAAGGGGGCGAATAGTAAGGCAGAATGAAGAGGATTAGATAGCGTGGAGGAGAGTAAGCGGGCGAATAGCAAGGCAGAATGAAGAGGATTAGATATGGCGTGGAGGAGAGTAAGCGGGCAGAAAATAGAGAAATGAAGAGGATTAGAAGCGTGGAGGAGAGTAAGCGGGCGAATAGCAAGCAGCAGAATGAAGAAGAATGATAGCGTGGAGGAGGAGAGTAAGGGCGAATAGCAAGGCAGAATGAAGAGGAAGAAGCGTGGAGGAGAAAGCGGGCGAATAGCAAGGCAGAATGAAGAGGGGATTAGATATGGAGGGAGAGTAAAGGGAAGGAATAAAGGGCAGAATGGCAGGAATGAAGAGGAGATTAGATAGCGTGGAGAGAGGTAAGCGGGCGAATAGCAAGGCAGAATGAAGAGGATTAGATAGCGTGGAGGAGAGTAAGTGGGCGAATAGCAAGGCAGAATGAAGAGGATTGGGATAGATAGCGTGGAGGAGAGTAAGCGGGCGAATAGCAAGCAGAATGAAGAGGATTAGATATGGCGTGGAGGAGAGTAAGCGGGCGAATAGCAAAGGCAGAATGAAGAGAATTAGATAGGTGAAAAGAACAGAAAGCGAGGAGAGGTAAGCGGGCGAATAGCAAGGCAGAATGAAGAGGATTAGATAGCGTGGAGGAGAGTAAGCGGGCGAATAGCAAGGCAGAATGAAGAGGATTAGATAGCGTGGAGGAGAGTAAGCGGGCGAATAGCAAGGCAGAAAGGAAGAGGATTAGATAGCGTGGAGAGTAAGGGCGAATAGCAAGGCAGAATGAAGAGGATTAGATAGCGTGGAGGAGAGTAAGCGGGCGAATAGTAAAGGCAGAAATGAAGAGGATTAGATAGCGTGGAGGGGAGAGTAAGCGGAGCGAATAGCAAGGCAGAATGAATAGGATTGAATGGCGTGAAGAGAAGCGGGCGAATTAGAAAAGCGTGGAGGAGAGTAAGCGGGCGAATAGCAAGGCAGAATGAAGAGGATTAGATAGCGTGGAGGAGAGTAAGCGGGCGAATAGCAAAGCAGAATGAAGAGGGATTAGATAGCGTGGAGGAGAGTAAGCAAGGAATAGCAAGGCAGAATGAAGAGGATTAGATAGCGTGGAGGAGAGTAAGCGGGAAATGAATAAGCGGGCGAATAGCAAGGCAGAATGAAGAGGATTAGATGAAGATTAGATGGCGTAGCGGGCGAATAGCGTGGAGGAGAGAGGCAAGGCAGAATGAAGAGGATTAGAATAGCAAGGCAGAATGAAGGAAAGCGGGAGGCAGAATGAAAGAGGATTAGATAGCGTGGAGGAGAGAAGCGGGCGAATAGCAAGGCAGAATGAAGAGAATTAGATAGCGGGAGAGAGTAAGGGCGAATAGCAAGTGAAAATGAAGAGATTGGGGATAGCGTGGAGGAGAGTAAGCATGAATAGCAAGGCAGAATGAAGATTAGATAGGGTGGAGGAGAGGCAAGAATAAAGGGGGCAGAATGAAGAGGATTAGATATGCGTGGAGGAGAGAAAGCGGGCAGAAATGAAGAGGATTAGAATGGAGGAGAGGATTAGATAGCAGAATGAAGAGGATTAGATAGGGCGAAGTAAGGCAGAAAATGAAGAATGGATTAGATAAAGGGAGGAGAGTAAGTGAAGTGAATAGGGCAAGGGCAGAATGAAGAGGATTGATAGCGGAGGGAGAGGAAGGAATAGCAAGGTGAAATGAAGAGGATTAGATAGCGTGGAGGAGAGGAAAGGTGAATAGCAATATAGAATGAAGAGGATTAGATAGAAGTGGAGGAGAGCAAGGGCAGAATAGCAAGGCAGAATGAAGAGGATTAGATATGTGAGGAGGTGGAGGAGAGGGATTAAAGAGAGAAGGGGCGAATAAAGGCAGAATGAAGAGATTAGATGGCGTGGAGGAGAGTAAGCGGGCGAATAACGCAGAATGAAAGGATTAGATAGCGTGGAGGTAAGCGGGCGAATGGCAAGGCAGAATGAAAAGGATTAGATAGCGTGAGAGGAGAGTAAGCGGGCGAATAGCAAGGCAGAATGAAGAGGATTAGATAGCGTGGAGGAGAGTAAGCGGGGCAGAATGAAGAGGAAATAGCGGAATGAAAGTTATGAATATGGCGAATGGAGGGATTAGATAGCGGGAGGAGGGCGAATAATTAAAAGGGCAGAATGAAGAGGGATTAGATATGTGGAGGAGAGTAAGCGGGCGAATATAAGGCAGAATGAAGAGGATTAGATAGCGAGAGAGTAAGCGGGTGAATAGCAAGGCAGAATGAAGAGGATTAGATGGCGTGGAGAGAGTAAAGGGGGCGAATAGCAAGAGCAGAATGAAGAGGATTAGATAGCGTGGAGGGAGTAAGCGGGCGAATAGCAAGGCAGAATGAAGAGGATTGATAGCGTGGAGGGAGAGCGGGCGAATAGCAAAGGCAGAATGAAGAGAATTAGATGGCGAGGGAGGAAGTAAGCGGGCGAATGAAGAGCATTAGATAGCGTGGAGAGAAAGCGTGAGGAAGCGGGCGAATAGCAAAGGCAGAATGAAGAGGATTAGATAGCGTGGAGGAGAGTAAGCGGGCGAATAGCAAGGCAGAATGAAGAGGGGATTAGATAGCGTGGAGGAGAGTAAGCGGGCGAATAGCAAGGCAGAATGAAGAGGATTAGATAGCGTGGAGGAGAGTAAGGGCGAATAGCAAGGCAGAATGAAAGAGGATTAGATAGCGTGGAGAGTAAGCGGGCGAATAGCAAGGTGAAATGAAAGAATTAGATAGCGTGGAGGCGAATAGCAACGCAAAATGAAGAGCGGGCGAATAAGTAAAGGGCGAATAGGCAGAATGAAGAGGATTAGATGGCGTGGAGGAGAGGATTAAGCGGGAGGGTGAACAAGGAATAGCAAGGCAGAATGAAGAGGATTAGATGGCGTGGAGGAGAGTAAGCGGGGCAATAGCAAGGCAGAAATGAAGAGGATTAGATAGCGTGGAGGAGAGTAAGCGGGCGAATAAAGGGCAGAATGAAGGGATTAGATGGGGTGGAGGAGAGTGGCGGGCGAATAGGCAAGGCAGAATGAAGAGGGATTAGATAGCGTGGAGGGGAGAGTAAGGGCGAATAGCAAGGCAGAATGAAGAGGATTAGATAGCGTGGAGGGGAGAGTAAGCGGGCGAATAGCAAGGCAGAATGGAATGGAAGCGGAGGGATTAGAATGGCGTGCAATGAAGAGGGATATGGTGGAGGAGAGCGGGCGAATAGCAAGGCAGAATGAAGAGGATTGAATGGCGTGGAGGGAGAGTAAGGGAAGGGCAAGGCAGAAATGAAGAGGATTAGATGGCGTGGAGGTAAGCGGGAGAAGAGAACGAGAGCGTGGAGGAGAGGAAGCGGGCGAATAACCAAGGCAGAATGAAGAGGATTAGGATAAAGCGTGGAGGGGAGTGCAGCGGGCGAATAGCAAGGCAGAATGAAGAGGATTAGATAGCGTGGAGGAGAGTAAGCGGGCGAATAGGCAAGGCAGAATGAAGAGTGGATTAGATAGCGTGGAGGAAGTGCGGGCGAATAGTAAGGCCAGAATGAAGAGCATTAGATGGCGTGGAGAGAGGTAAGCGGGCGAATGCGCAAGGCAAGGTGAAATGGAAGAGGAACGGGAGAAAAGGCAGAATGGAAAGGGGAGAGAAGGGCGAATAGTAAGGCAGAATGAAGAGGATTAGATGGCGAGGAGAGTAAGCGGGCGAATAGCAAGGCAGAATGAAGAGGATTAGATAAAGGTGAGTAAGGCGAATAGGCAAGGCAGAAATAGAAGAGGGATTAGAGTGTGAGGAGAGTAAGCGGGCGAATAGCAGCAAGGCAGAATGAAGAGGATTAGATAGCGTGGAGGAGAATGGCAGACGTAAAGGCCAGATGAAGAGGTTAGATGATAGTGGAGGAGGTAAGCGGCGGGCGAATAGCAAGGCAGAATGAAGAGGATTAGATAGCGTGGAGAGTAAGCGGGCAATAGCAAAGGCAGAATGAAGGATATAGATAGCGTGGAGGAGGAAGGGCGAATAAAGGCAGAATGAAGAGGAGATATGGTGGAGGGGCAGAATGAAGGCAGAATGAAGAGGATGGCGTGGAGGAGGTAAGCCGAAGGAATAGCAAGGCAGAATGAAGAGGATTAGATAGCGGGAGGAGAGTAAGCGGGCGAATAGCAAGGCAGAATGAAGAGGATTAGATATGGTGGAGGGAGAGTAAGCGGGGCGAATAGCAAGGCAGAATGAAGAGAGGATTAAGGAATTGCAAGGTAAATGAAGAGGATTAGATAGTGGAGGAGAGTAAGGGGGCAGAATGAAGAGGATGGAGAAGCGTGGAGGAGAGTAAGTGAATAGCAAGGCAGAATGGAAGCAGGAGAGCAGGGGAATGAATAAGAGAATTAGATAGCGTGGAGGAGTAAGCGGGCGAATAGCAAGGCAGAATGAAGAGATGAAGTGGAGCATAACAGCAAGGCAGAATGAAGAGAATGGCGTGGAGGAGAGGAGCGGGCGAATAGCAAGCAGAAAATGAAGAGGATTAATGAAGAACGATTGAAGCGTGGAGGAGAGTAAGCGTATGAATAGCAACGCAGAATGAAGAGGATTAGATGAAGGTGGAGGAGAGTAAGCGGGGGAATAGCAAGGCAGAAATGAAGATGTGGAGGATAAAAGCATGAAGGCAAGAACAAGAGATAGCGTGGAGGGAGTAAGCGGGCGAATAGCAAGGCAGAAGAATGAAGGATTAGATAGCGTGGAGGAGAGAGTAAGAATAGCAAGGCGGCAGAATGAAGAGGATTAGATAGAAGGGGTGAATAGGCAAGGCAGAATGAAGAGGATTAGATGGCGTGGAGGAGAAAGCGGAATAGCAAGGAATAGCAAGGCAGAATGAAGAGAATTAGATGGCGATGGAGGAGAGTAAGCGGGCGAATAGCAAGGCAGAATGAAGAGGATTAGATTAGAAAGCGTGGAGGAGAGTAAGCGGGCGAATAGCAAGGCAGAATGAAGAGGATTAGATAGCGTGGAGGAGAGTAAGCGGGCGAATAGCAAGGCAGAATGAAGAGGATTAGATAGCGTGGAGGAGAGTAAGCGGGCGAATAGCAAGGCAGAATGAAGAGGATTAGAATAGCGTGGAGGAGAGTAAGCGGGCGAATAGCAAGGCAGAATGAAGAGGATTAGATAGCGTGGAGGAGAGTAAGCGGGCGAATAGCAAGGCAGAATGAAGAGGATTGGAGGAGATAAGCGGGCGAATGGAGAATGAAGAGGATTAGATGGCGTGGAGGAGAGTAAGCGGGCGAATAGCAAGGCAGAAAATGAAGAGGATTAGATATGGTGGAGGAGAGGTAAGCGGGCGAATAGCAAGGCAGAAATGAAAGATTGGATATGGCGTGGAGGAGAGTAAGCGGGCGAATAGCAAGGCAGAATGAAGAGGATTAGATGGCGTGGAGGAGAGTAAGCGGGCGAATAGGCAAGGCAGAATGAAGAGGATTGGGATGGCGTGGAGGAGAGTAAGCGGGCGAATAGCAAGGCAGAATGAAGAGGATTAGATAGCGTGGAGGAGAGTAAGCGGGCGAATAGCAAGGCAGAATGAGGATTAGATATGGTAGTAAGGGCGAATAGGCAGTGGAAGAGGATTAGTAAGAGGAGGGCGAATAGCAAGGCAGAATGAAAGGATTAGATAGCGTGATGGAGGAGAGTAAGCGGGGAATAGCAAGGCAGAGAACAAGAGGATTAGACATGGTGGAGGGAGTAAGCGGGCGAATAGCAAGGCAGAATGAAGAGGATTAGATAGCGTGGAGAGTAAGCGGGCGAATAGCAGAATGAAGAGGATTAGATAGCGTGGAGGAGAGTAAGCGGAGCGAATAGCAAGGCAGAATGAAGAGGATTAGATAGCGTGGAGAGAGTAAGGGCGAACAAAAGCGGGCAGAAATGAAGAGGATTAAGGAAGGTGCGAATAGAAGGCAGAAACGAGATTAGATAGCGTGGAGGAGGTGAATAGGCAAGCAGAATGAAGAGGATTAGATATGGTGGAGGAGAGTAGCGGGCGAATAGCAAGGCAGAATGAAGAGAGATTAGATAGCGTGGAGGAGAGTAAGCGGGCGAATAGCAAGGCAGAATGAAGAGGATTAGATAGCGTGGAGGATGAATAGTAAGCGGAAGCGAATAGCAAGGCAGAATGAAGAGGATTAGATAGCGTGGAGGAGAGTAAGCGGGCGAATAGCAAGCAGAATGAAGAGGATTAGATGGCGTGGAGGAGAGTAAGCGGGCGAATAGCAAGGCAGAATGAAGAGAATTAGAGTAAGCGGGGAGAGAATAGTGGAGGAATAAGCGGGCAAGGCAGAATGAAGAGGAGAAAGCGCATGGAGGAGAGTAAGCGGGCGAATAGCAAGGCAGAATGAAGAGAATTAGGATAGCGTGGAGGAGAGTAAGCGGGCGAATAGCAAGGGCAGAATGAAGAGGATTAGATGGCGTGGTGGAGGAGAGGCAAGGAATAGCAAGGCAGAATGAAGAGATTAGATAGCGTGGAGGAGAGTAAGCGATGGAATAGCGAATAAGGCAGAATGAAGAGGATTAGATAGCGTGGAGAGTAAGCGGGTGGTGGAAAGGATTAGATGGCGTGGAATAAGCAAGGCAGAATGAAGAGGAATTAGATAGTGGAGGAGAGTAAGCGGGCGAATAGCAAGGCAGAATGAAGAGGATTAGATAGCGTGGAGGAGAGTAAGCGGGCGAATAGCAAGGCAGAATGAAGAGGATTAGATAGCGTGGAGGAGAGTAAGCGGGCGAATAGCAAGGCAGAATGAAGAGGATTAGATAGCGTGGAGGAGAGTAAGCGGGCGAAAGCGGGCGAATAGCGTGGAAAGGCAGAATGAAGAGGATTAGATTAGATAGGCGTGGAGGAGAGTAAGCGGGCGAATAGCAAGGCAGAATGAAGAGGATTAGATAGCGTGGAGGAGAGTAAGCGGGCGAATAGCAAGGCAGAATGAAGAGGATTAGATAGCGGTAAGCGGGCGAATAGCAAAGGCAGAATGAAGAGGATTAGATAGCGTGGAGGAGAGAAAGCGGGGAATAGGATTAAAGGCAGAATGAAGAGGATTAGATAGCGTGGAGGGAGAGTAAGCGGGCGAATAGCAAGGCAGAATGAAGAGGATTAGATAGCGTGGAGGAGAGTAAGCGGGCGAATAGCAAGGCAGAATGAAGAGAATTAGAAGCGTGGAGGAGTAAGCGGGCGAATAGCAAGGCAGAATGAAGAGGATTAGATAGCGTGGAGGAGAGAGTAAGCGGGCGAATAAAGGCAGAATGAAGAGATTAGATAGCGTGGAGGAGGTAAGCGGGCGAATAGCAAGGCAGAATGAAGAGGATTAGATGGCGTGGAGGAGAGTAAGCAAGGCAGAAATGGGCGAATAGCAAGGCAGAATGAAGAGGATTAGATATGCGTGGAGGAGAGTAAGCGGGCGAATAGCAAAGGCAGAATGAAGAGAATTAGATAGCGTGGAGGAGAGTAAGCGGGCGAATAGCAAGGCAGAATGAAGAGGATTGGAGATAAGCGTGGAGGAGAGATTAAGCGGGAGGAATAGCAAGGCAGAATGAAAGGATTAGATTAGATAGCGTGGAGGCAGAAATGAAGAGGATTAGATAGCGTGGAGGGGAGATAAGCGGGCGAATAGCAAGGCAGAATGAAGAGGATTAGATAGCGTGGAGGAGAGTAAGCGGGAGAATAGCAAGGCAGAATGAATGAAGAGGATTGGATAGCGTGGAGGAGAGTAAGCGGGCGAATAGCAAGGCAGAATGAAGAGGATTAGATAGCGTGGAGGAGAGTAAGCGGGTGAATAGCAAGGCAGAATGAAGAGGATTAGATAGCGTGGAGGAGAGTAAGCGGGTGAATAGCAAGGCAGAATGAAGAGGATTAGATAGCGTGGAGGAGAGTAAGCGGGCGAATAGCAAGGCAGAATGAAGAGGATTAGATAGCGTGGAGGGAGAGTAAGCGGGCGAATAGCAAGGCAGAATGAAGAGGATTAGATAGCGTGGAGGAGAGTAAGCGGGGAATAGCAAGGCAGAATGAAGAGGATTAGATGGCGTGGAGGAGTAAGCGGGCGAATAGCAAGGCAGAATGAAGAGGATTAGATGGCGTGGAGGAGAGTAAGCGGGCGAATAGCAAGGCAGAATGAAGAGGATTAGATAGCGTGGAGGAGAGTAAGCGGGCGAATAGCAAAGGCAGAATGAAGAGGATTAGATAGCGTGGAGAGAGTAAGCGGGCGAATAGCAAGGCAGAATGAAGAGGATTAGATAGCGGAGGAGTAAGCGGGCGAATAGCAAGGCAGAATGAAGAGGATTAGATGGCGTGGAGGAGGTAAGCGGGCGAATAGCAAGGCAGAATGAAGAGGATTAGATAGGTGGAGAATAAGCGGGCGAATAGCAAGGCAGAATGAAGAGGATTAGATGGCAGAATGAAGAATGAAGAGGATTAGATAGCGTGGAGGAGAGTAAGCGGGCGAATAGCAAGGCAGAATGAAGAGGATTAGATAGGTGGGAGGAGAGAGTAAGGGCGAATAAGCAAGGCAGAATGAAAGAGGATTGATAGCGTGGAGGAGAGTAAGCATGAATAGCAAGGCAGAATGAAGAGGATTTAGATAGTGGAGGAGAGTAAGGGCGAATAGCAAGGCAGAATGAAGAGGATTGGGATAGTGGAGGAGAGTAAGCGTATGAACAGCAAGCAGAATGAAGGGATTAGATAGCGTGGAGGAGAGTAAGCGGGCGAATAGTACAAAGAATGAAGAGAATTAGGATAGCGTGAGGAGAGGCGGGAAGAATAGCAAGGCAGAATGAAGAGGATTTAGATACAGGGAGGAGAGTAAGGGCGAATAGCAAGGCAGAATGAAGAGGATTAGATATGTGGAGGAGAGTAAGCGGGGTGAATAGCAAGGCAGGAAATGTAGACATTAGATAGCGTGGAGAGTAAGGGCGAATAGCAAGAATGAAGAGGATTAGATAGGGGAGGAGAGTAAGGGCGAATAGCGCGTGAATGAAGAGCATTAGATAGCGTGGAGGAGAGTAAGGGCGAATAGCGCAAGGCAGAATGAAGAGGATTAGATAGCGTGGAGGAGAGTAAGGGTGAATAGCAAGGCAGAATGAAGAGGGATTAGATAGCGTGGAGGAGAGTAAGGGTGAAGGCAAGGCAGAATGAAGAGGATTAGATAGCGAAAATAGGCAAGGCAGAATGAAGAGAGATAGTGGAGGGAGAGGCAAGGAATAGCAAGGCAGAATGAAGAATTAGATAGCGTGGAGGAGAGTAAGCAAGGAATACAAGGCAGAATGAAGAGAATTAGATAGCGGAGGAGAGTAAGGGAATAGCAAGGCAGAAAATGAAGAGGATTAGATAGTGGAGGAGAGTAAGCGGGCGAATAGCAAGGCAGAATGAAGAGGGATTAGATAGCGGAGGAGAGTAAGCGGGCGAATAGCAAGGCAGAATGAAGAGAATTAGATAGCGGAGGAGAGAGCAGCAAGGAATAGTAAGGCAGAATGAAGAGGATTAGATATGGTGGAGGAGAGTAAGCGGGCGAATAGCAAGGCAGAATGAAGAGGATTAGATAGCGGAGGAGGAGAGTAAGCGAATAGTACAGAATGAAGAGGATTAGATATGGTGGAGAGAGGCAAGGAATAGCAAGGCAGAAATGAAGAGG